GGGTTTTTTTTTGGTTTTCCGTGTTAAGTACTCACTGGTATCTTGTGTTATTGTACCGTACTGGTCCTCGGTTATGACTTTACTGCTTCAGTGTATTGTACTGTACTGGTCTTCTGAAATTTGAACTGTACTGGCTGTGTTTTTGTACTGTGCTGGTCCTCTGTGTTACTGTACTGCAATGTACTGATACTGTGGGCACTGTACAGTAATGGTCTTTTGTGTTTAGTGTACTGTGCTGGTCTTCTATGTTACTATACCGAACGGGGTTTCTGTGTTAATGTAATGTACTGGTATTCTGTATATTGTTCTTTACTGGTCTTCTGTTTTTGTTTTTCACTGGTCTTCTGTACTGTACTGTACTGGAATTGTGTGCATTGTACAGTATTGGTCTTGCTTGTTATTGTACTGTACCGGTGCTTCGGGCCCTGTAGGTTCTTTTATGAAACTGTATGGTTTTGTCTATTGTACTGTATGGCCTTTTGTGTTATTTTATTTTACTGGTGTTTCTGTGTCACTGTACAGTACTCGTCTTCCGTGTTACTGTACTGTACTGTTTTTTGTGTTATTTTTGTGCTAGTCTACTGTGTTATTGTACTATTTCTGGTCTTTCTGGCGTTTATTATTCTGTACGGGCATTCTGTGTTTAGTACTGTACTGGTCTTTTGTGTTATTTTTCTGACTGGTCTTTCTGTGTTATTGTACTGCACTGATTTTCTGCGTTATTGCACTGTAATGATGTCTGTGTTACTGTACGGTACTGGCCCTTCTGTCTTATTGTAATATACTGGTCTTCTGTCTATGACTATGCCCGCGGTTTCAATCCCGGCCGGGTTATGGTTTGTTTGAAATCGTGTCATTACGATTTCTTGAGTCATGTCTTATTGTTATTCTACTGGTATTTTTTTTTTTGTACAGTACTGGTCGTACTGTTTACTGTACTGTACCTGTCTCCTTTGTTACTGTACTGTACTGGGTCTGTGTTATTGTGCTGTACTAGTCTTCTGTGTTATTGTCTGTACTGGTCACCCTGTTATTGTATTGTATTGGGATTATGTTATGTACTCTACTGGTCTTCTGTGTTAATGAACTGTATTGCCAGTCTCTGTTATAGTACTTCTCTGGGCTTCGTGTTACTGTACTGTAAGGTCTTCTGATATTGTACGTACTGGTCTTTGTGCTATTGTACTGTAAAAGGTCTTCTGTGTTTACTCTGTTAAATGATTTTTTTTGTCTTCTGTGTTTCTGTACCTTACTGGTCTCTGCGTTTCTGTACGTACTGCAATTGTATTGTGTGTATTATACTTTGCTGGTCTTCTGTGTTAGATTCAGCTTTACTTTGATCTGTTGTTAGGTGTACGTGTTGTTCGATACTGTTATGGTATCTGTGATTGGTTCTGTACTGGTCTTCTGTGTTATTTTACTGTACTGGTCTTCTGTGTTATTTTACAGCGCGCTCCTTGTCTTCTGTGATTTGAGCTATTTTGGTTTTCTGAGTTTTTTACTCTACGGGTCTTTTGAGTTTCTGTGAACGTTACTGTTCCTCTGCTGTTACAGATACTGTACTGCGTGGTACTGGGTGCATTGTACTGTTATTAGTTTCTGTGTTATTGTACTGTGTTGGTGTACTGTGCTGGTCGCTGTGTTACTGTACCGTACTAGTTCTTTGTGTGAATGTTACTGCGCTGGTATTCTTCTGTGTATTGTTTGTACTTGTTCTCTATGTGAAGTGAAAACTGTACTTGGTCTTCTGTGTTATTGTAATTGTACTGGTTTTCCCGCGTTATTGTACTATTATGTTTTCTGTGTTATTATACCGTCTTTTTTCTGTATTTTTGTACTGTACTTGGTCTTCTGTATTATTGTACTGTACTGGTCTTTTGTGGGTTTTTGTATTGTACTGAAGTCCTCTGTTCTTACTTGTACTGTACCGGTCTTTCTGTGTTTACTGAACTGTACTGGTTTCTGTGTTAATGAATTGTATTGCTGTCTGTGTTATAGTATGCACTGGTCTTCAGTGTTCACTGTACTGTTCTGGTCTTTTTGTATTGTTCTGCACTGGTCTTCTGTGATTTGTACTGTCTCGTTTTCTGTGTTTTTGTACTGTACGGTTCTCTGTTTTATTGTTACTGTACTGGGTGTTCTGTGTTACTGAAACTGATACTGGTCTTCTGTGTTAATGAAAATGTATTGCTAGTCTGTGTTATAGTTCTTCACTGGTCTTTCTGTGTTAATGTTGTATTCGTCTTTTGTTACTGTTACTAGTCCCACTGTCTTCCTGTACGTGCTAGTCTCTGTGTTATTGTACTGTACCGGAGTTCTTTGTTACTGTACGCGTACTGGCACTGTGTTTCTGTACTGTTACTCGCTTTCTGTGTTATTGTATCTCCTCTATGGTTTACTATACTTGCACTGGTCAGTGTAACTGTACTGTACTAGTCATCCTGTGTTACTGCACTGTACTGGTCTTCTGTATTGTGGCTGGTCTTTTTTATTTTACTGTACTGGTCTCTGTTGTTACTGCATGTTCTGGTCTTTGTGTGATATTTACTGTACTGGTCTTCTGTGTTTATTTTACTGTACTGGGGCTTATGGTGTTACAGCACTGTATGTCCTTTGTGTTACCTGTACTGGTTTTCTGTGTTACGCACTTGTACTGGAATTCTGCATGTTATTTTACTGTACTGGTATTGTGTGTACTGCACTGTAGGGTCTTCTGTGTTTTTGACTGTAATGGTCTTTTGTTGTTATTGATCTGTTATTTTCTTCTTGTTTATAGTATTGTACTGTGTCTTCTGTGTTACTGTTACTGTACTGTTCTTCTGTGTTATTGCACTGTATGGTCTTTGTGTTATGTACTGTACTCCACCTTTGTCTTCTGAGATATTGTGCTGTACTGGTCCTTGTGTGTTAATGTTACTATTTACTGTTCAGCTGTGTATTATTCTGTACTGGTCTTCCGTGTTTTTGTACTGTGCTGGTCTTTTGTGTTTCTCTCCGTACTGTTCCTTGTGTTACTGTACTGTTCTGTACTGATTTGTGGTATTCACTGTACTGGCCTGTTGTTATTGTACTGTGCGGGTTTCTTCTGTGTTAGTGTACTGCGTTTTTTGTGTGTTACTGTAAAACGATCCTGTGGTTATTACTGTATGGTTTTCTGTTCTTGTAATGTATGGTATTCCGTGTTTTGTTCTGTACTGGTCTTCTGTTTTACTGTACCGTTTGGGTCCTCTTCGTTACTGTACTGCACTGCACTGGACTGTTTATTATACTGTAAGGTCTTCTGTGTTATTGACTTTATTGATCTTCTGTGTTAGTGTACTGGCGGTTTCTGCGTACTGTACCGTACTGGTCTTTACGTTCTGGTATTCTGTGCATGTTTTGTAGGTCTTCGTTTATTGTACTGTTTGGTCTTGTGTGTTTTTGTATGTACGGGCTTCTGGTTTTTGTATTGTACGGGTTTTTCTTGTTATTTTCGTACTGGTCTTTGTGTTATTGACTGTCGGGTTTTTCTGTGTTATTGTATTGTATGGCTTCGGGGTTTTTGTTGTACTGGTTTCTGTGTTATTGTAGTACGGGGTTTTGTTTATTTACTGTCTGGTCTTCTGTGTTATTGTACTGTATGGTCTTCGTTTTATTGTACCTACTGGTCTTCTGGTTATTGTAATGTTTTATTTTAAATAAATTTTTGTGTGAAAATTAGGGGATGGTTTGTTTGTTATTGTTTTTTTTGTTTTATTGTAAATTTATTTTTCACTACAAATGTTTTATGTCTCAATTTTTCTTTTTTATGTGTTTTTTTAAAGATTTGTGTCCTTTACTTTTTCATTGTTATGTTCGTTTTAGAGTTACTTTCATGTTTTGTGTGTTAATTCCCGTTTTATATGTCACGTAAAACTATCTGACTTTATTCATCTTAACCAAACATACCACGGGGGGGTTTGAGACTTGTGACCGCGGGTTCAAATCCCCCCCGTGGTTTTGGGTTTTTTGCAATGTGTCATTACATTTCGGATCTCGTTCTATTATCTTTTCGTTTCAAAAGAACGCTAGTCAAGTCTTTTACCAAAGAGTGTTGCCAAAACTATTTCCCAAAAGAAACCTACCCGGGGTCTTCTACTAAAAGCTTTGGTAACGTCCTTCCGTATAACTCATAATAGCGTCCCGTCTTATAAACTTGATTCCTCCAAAAGAATCCTAAGAAAAAAATCCTGTCAAATTTTTATTGGGTATT